GGTGTTATACCTCCTAGAAGAGATCGATACCGATTTAATCATAAACTTATTATATATGTATCAATTCGGTCCTAAACATTTCCACTTTTATTGTCAATGCGGTCTTAAACATTTGAGCGGGGTTCCAATGTAGTCCCTCTGGCCAATTGCCGACGCGGCATCCAGTCATCGGTGGCCTACCCATACGGCACGATTACATGGACAGCTTTGCTCAAAATAACGTCCTACGGGGACAGCCGCGTTAGCGATTTTCGGTGACAATTGGTCAGAAGTACTACGTTGGAAGTATTTCACGCAAAGGTGTAAGACCGCATTGGCGAAATTCAAAATTTTATGATCGAATCGGCATCTATACTATAGGTTTACGATTAAATCGGCAATTTTTCCCTTCCTAGAATGACGAAACAGTTGTGACTTTAATATACTAAGCTTCCATTAGGATGAGATTTCGTTTGCGTTCTATGACGACCACTCTTAAATCTTAATTTTAAGGAGGAATGAGATCGTCTCCTCCGAAGCAACACTGTCAAAGTTCCCACAACAACGGCAGCGTAGACTATAATTTTTTGGACAAGATAAGACGTGAATAAAAAACTAGATAAATGGACCGACTATAAAATTACTTAATGGCCGTGAAAATTCAACCTATATCCTTCATTTACCTACTAAATCGAGTTCAAGGGTTCATCCAATTCATATTATTTACATGTTAATGCAAATTATGTCCGGTCGGACTATTCTTTTCCTTACAATCGCATTCGAAATTAGTGAATGCATTCGACATGATCTAAAGATCTGGGAAAAATACCAAAAAAGCTCTAAACATATTGTATTTATGCTAATTCAGCCATAAACTTTTCAATTGTGCCAAACTGAGTCATACACTTTCTTTACGTTTTGCCTTTTGAGTCTATTCGGCCAATATTAGCCAGAAATCACTTACGTGGGTGCCGTGCGCCTTACGTGGGATAGCCGGTGCTGACGTGAACAAGTTTTGCAATTTTTTTAAAAATAAATTGAATATTTTAATTTTTTTTATTTTCTTTTTTCTTCTTTCTCTGTAGGGCATCATGGCCGGCGACTAGCTAGAGGCAACGGCCAGCGAGGGTCGCCCTTGCCGGATCTAGCATGGGACAACCATGCCCGGGAGCTCGAGCCTCACTAGATCCAGTGAGGTCGAGCCTCGCTCGAGGCTGGTGAGGCTCGAGCTTGTTGGAATTTGGTGAGACTCACCCTCGCCAGGCGAGGAAGAAGGAAAAAGGAAAAAGGAAAAGAAAGAATAAATAATAAATAATTATTAAAAAATTGATTTGTTTTAAAAAAAATTGCAAAAAATTGTCCACGTCATCGCCAGTCATACCACGTAGAGCAGCCGGCATTCACATCAGCGATTTCCGGCTAAAATTGACCGGATTGACTCAATTGTCAAAACACGAAAGTATTAAGCACTCAATTGACACAATTGAAATGTTTATGATTCAATCGACACAAATACAATAGATTTATGACTTTTTTCGGTATTCTTCTCGGGAAGATCTAGTAACCATCATCTCATAAAAGAATTCTTCTTGGGTTAAAACTCAGTGCGACGTGTGAATGAGGTCACCATGACGAATGACCAGAGAGACCCCGTTTGGAGCTTGGAACATCACATTGCTTCCCGATTCGACACCGAAAGCCAAATTCTATTTTATTTCCTGTGGCTTAGAAGTGGGATGAACATATGGACATATAGAATTCCAAAAAAAAGCGCTAAACAAACGGCTCAAAAAGTTATGCAATATTCTAAAAAATTTATAAGTTTCCTTTACTATTACTTTATGACCCAACGCCTAATCATTCAATGATTGAGTGTAGATTTACCATTAATCAAATGCAACTAAGCTAACATGACTCTAGTATAAGAAATTGAGGCAATGATGGTTGACCACATTCACTTGCACCGCGAGACTCTCCAATTATTTAGTCGGGACCCTCCATGATTACTTTTCAATTAGACAAGTTCCGTTTGGCACCTCATCTTGACTGCCCGCCCACGTTAGACGTTAAGACCCTTTTTAACTCCCGGTAGACTTAAGACTATCCTACGTAACAAGCCTTCGATGGGTCCCGTCCTATGCGCGAAAATTATGGCGCCGACATGTCCAAGCCCGACGGATGATGACTACCGGAACGCGAGCGTTGCGATCGGATGCGTCGATGAGCATGAGAGAGAGTGTCGGAATTCCAAAAGAGGAGCTTTTCGAACGTGGCCATGTGCTGCCGGGGGAGCACACATTGTTTGCGATTGCCGCGTTACATGTGATGGAAGTGATGGGTGAGGATGTGATGATACATATGCCCTTCTCCCTGGCACCAAAAACGGGTCGGTGAATTGGACAATGGAGACTCACCAACTTTTTCCAAAGAGAATAGGCACTTCCAACATTATCATGTAGTGATGCTACTTTAGTGTCGCTATGACACCTACCTAGCTGTTTTTTCTTCTGTTTTTTTTTTAGTGTTTCTCCAATTATTGATCAGGGGGCACCAGGGACTAGTTTTTCGGAATATTGTATCAGGCCCGCCTCTTGAATCTAGTCAAAAATAAATCATACATGCTAGAATTGAAAAATCGGTAAGGAATTATTTATCGAATTTTATGATCAGAACTCGAGTGAAAATTAGGTCTTTCGGACCTGGCATTCTGTGAGGTGATATCTCGATTGACTTCTCTACATAGGGTTTATTTCTAAGTAATGGGGGGCACATGTATTGTCATTCTAGCAAATTATAAGTTAATGGGGTCATGCGCAAGAACTCTCGGTCTTAACTTCGAGGGGAAGAAAAACGCCGTGAATTAGTTCTTCGGGACAGGTTGACATTACGAAGCCCTTCTGTCTGATTTAAGTATTTAGCGATGGCGTGCTGTGCTATAGAATGCCTTGATGGAGAAACCACATTACATCAGATGGAGAAAGCAGTTCAGATTTTAACGTGAAAGATTCTTGAATCTCGAAACCATCTCGCGCGACGTCCAAAGAGCTCATGCCGCCGGCGAGGCCAGATCTGGCAGTGCCGCATGAGCTCACTCTATCCCAAGTGACGCTGCTTGTGGTCACCCGACCCCAGGCAAGACCTGCCGATGCCAGATCTGGCTCGCCAGCCGATGAGCCTTTCGCTGGTCTCGACATTTCTTTTAAGAAAAAATCAAGCAAAAATCCTTTACAAAAACATAAAAAAAAATTTCAAACATTATTTAAATCGAAATTGCTCCGCGGTACATTTTCAAATTACAATTTACCAAAAACAATTTGTATTTAGAATGGCCCATTGAACCTAAAAATCCTTTGCATGTTTTCAAAGAAATTTTTTCCAAAAGCCGAATCAAATGAGCCCGAAGATACAATCTCACCGTTTAAAGCAGCTCGTGGAAAAAGAAAGATAATGAATAAAGATGGGAATGATTACGGCCGCAGTGATACTAAAGTAGGCAATTAACAACCTCGGATAAGATAAGGTTAGATGAGGATTATTATCGACAATTAATGACGTCATCGTGAAGCGGGCCACGGTGTGAAAGGAATAAATGCGGAGGATAGGAAGATGCCGTTTGCCGATTTGCGTTCACACACGGCAGATCCTCTTCCCCTGCCCTTTTCACACCTGCCCATCGGAGCCGTGGCTCGCCCCACAGTCGACAGGTTTCGGCTTCGCGCCGAGCCCATCGTCCCCTTGGCTCATAAGCCGAGCCCCTTCTTCATTTTCCGGGGGGGTATAAGCTTGGCTCGATTCAAGGGGATGAAAAAGAGCGAGAGAAACGAAAGGAAAATGACATGAACAGTCACTGAAATTTAATTTAATGTGTGACGTAATTATTAAAATTTTAATTTATTCAATGCAATCTCTGAGTTTTAATTCAATGTGCAATGTGATTGTTCAAAGTCATTTATGAACTTTTGGTACATATTCAATTTAGTCGCTGAACTATATGAAAATTTTTAATGTAGTATTTCCATTAATTCAAATTCGGGGACTATATTGAACATGTACCAAAAGCCCAGGGACCATATTGAACAAATTAAAAGTTTAAAGACTACATTGAACATTAGATTAGAGTTCGGGAACTACATCGAAAAGATTAAAAGTTCATGAACTATTTGTGCCATTTTTCTAGATTGAAAAATGCGAGGGCTCGCTTTTTTAAAATGTCGTCCCGCCCATTGCCGTTGGATGAAGTGAGATTCATATGAGATCTAAACGTAGATGTGCACCTAAAGCATGTAAGTATGCCTATTACGGGGGCATGTTTTCTTTTGCTTTAAAAAGTTAAAAGGAAGATCCTTTTTACTTTTCCGTCAAAATTTGAAAATGCGGTGAAAATGGTTATGCAAATTGGCATGTCGATGTAAGCACCTTTTTTAAAGTTTCGAGTAAAATTTTCACCGCGAAGAAGGTTTTGATGCACATGCGCCACAAATTTTAGAAAACAAACAGAAGAAAAAAAGGGAAAAAACCAATCCGAATATTTCTGTAATTATACCATCCGTGTAGGGCCCACGGCGCGCTGGCCAAGCCGACCGAGACAACAGAACCAAACAACGACGACAACCGAAGTGGCTCGAGCCGAGCCTATTCGAGCCGAGCTAACCGCCTTCACCGACGGCTCCCCCCGCAGCACCAACGGCAACGTTGTCGTCACATGCAAAAGGCGGAGCGCCCTCCCCCACCCCAGAATTAGTTGGTGGTGGATGATGAGGTCAACCCCCCTTCACCTGCCACGTCGGACAGCCTCGTCCGACGTGGCAACAGATTAGGTTTGACCCCACTGTCACCGTCATGCTCATCAACCCCGAGACCATCTCCTCCTGCAGCTCTCTCTCTCCCTTTCTCTCTCCTCTCCTCTCCTCTTATTTAACACCCGCTCCTCCTCCATTCCCAAGATCTTGATCTCTTCCTCGCGTCGCAGCGAAACATCGAGCGTTTCGAACAAGAAAGAGAAGGGAGAATAACCATCTCGAATGGGGAACTGCATCCGGCACGAGTGTCCGATGCAATGGGGCGGCGACGACTGGGAGGACGGGCTGTTCTCGGCGTCGTCGGAGGGGAGCGGCGGCGGGGACGACGCCGCCGCCGCGGCTGCCGCTGCTGCCGGTGCGGACGCGGACGAGACGGAGGAGCTCCTCGAGAAGAGGAGCGGGCGGCGGCACCGGTCGAGCAATGCGGCGACCCCCGCGGCGGCGGCGGCGGCGGCGGTGGGGAAGGAGGTGAAGATAAGGATAACGAAGCGGCAGCTGGAGGAGCTGCTGGGGAAGCCGGACGCGAACGAGGAGAAGCCCGTGGAGCAGCTGGTGTCGCAGCTGATGGCGATGAGCTCGAGCGACCGGTTCGAGGCGGGCCAGAGGTCGTGGAGGCCGGCGCTGAAGAGCATCCCGGAGGTCAATTAGCCTACGATATCATCACGTGGAACTGGTAGAGATGCCGAGAGAGATTTTTGTCCGCTTTCTTTTTTCCTTTCTGTTTTTTTTTTTTCGTCAGGAGATGCACATAGGGATGAACCGAATTCTTCATCAGATCTTGATTTTTAGGGGGGGGTAAATTCATATTCTTTTGCTGGGTATTGCAGTTTGGTGTACAGAACATGTGCCAAAAAAAACAAAACGGAGTACTGTAAAGTGATGGTGATATACTACTGCTGCACATTTTCCTTCCTACTCTGTCTATCTCTCTCCTCTTGCATTATGTCGGGAAACAAATTGAGGTTGATAAAAGAAAAAAAAATCGAAAGTGGAAGAAAAAAAAAATTGGTGGGGAGATGAATTCATTGATAAAATGAAATGAAGGTGACGAAGATAATAGGAAAAGGAAGAACGCATAAGTTGTTGGGAAAGAGAGGAAAAGTTGGGGGGGGGGGGGGGGGATGGGGAAGTTCTTTGTGGCGCAATTACGCTTTCGCCCCTCGAATTTTCTATCGCCAAGATGAGATCGAAATAAGAGGAGAAGGGGGAATGGGGGTCATTTTTGGGAAGTTTTTATATTGCTAATCCAATGCAGGATGGGAGACGCGACAAATGGCGGGAGGGGGCCCCCCATGGATTTGAGATCGTCGTCGCTCCTCTGCCTAATCTTTCCGTACGCTTCCCGAGCGAAGGAATTTTGCCTAGTCCACTCCCCATTTCCTTCTCCTCCGGTTAACATTCTGTCCATCGCTTTTGGTGCCTGGCTCGTCGTCGGAATTTAACGGGACGATAGATCTCGAGTTCAGATTATCATGAGACGGTTACGGATTAGAACCTTTCCCGTCGAACCGGTTTCATCCGCTGTACCTCTCGGCGAGGCGAGATGTTGACATGTTACTTAATCACGGGCGTGCCACGGGAGCCTTGTTGAGGAGGTGAAGAGGGCGTTTGGTAAGTTATTAAATAGTGAAATTTTCTATTCTTTTGTTGTCAGAATTAGTTTGGGAACATAAATTCGTTTGTTAAAATTTTTGTGCTCGGGCACAAAATTGCAAAAAATTATTCCCAAAATCAGTTTTGAAATAGAATCAAGAAGTAAAAAAAAGTAACTTCTTGATTCTGAAGCAATTTTTCCATTTCTGATTCTTCTTGGTTTTCTTCTCCGTTTTTGGTTTGTTCTTCTTCTTCTTCCCGGTTTGCCGCCGTCCAGTGGCCACCGGCCAGGGTTGGCGAGGGCGGCTCGCGGCCGTGACGGCGAGGCCTCGTCCAGCCATGTCAAGGCTGACCTCACCGTCGCCACCCCCGAGGCCGGCGGCGAGGGCCGCGATGCCCTCGCCGGCCATGGCCAAGGAAGGGAAGGAAAAAAAAAAGGAAAAAAAAAAGAAAGAAATATTAAAAAAATTAAAAAATTATTAATAAAAAGAAATTTTGTGTAATTACCAAACGCATTTATTTTCTTTTTCTATTCTAAGAATAGAAATTTTGGGCAGTTACCAAACGCCTTCAAATGCTTAGAAATTGTTCCCGGACACAGAATAAAAAAGAATCATTTCTGCACAGAATCAGTTTCCGGACACAGAATCGTTGCCATGCGCATCCTAAGTCTAAAGAAAGAGTATGATGGGAAAGGATGACCGAATTGTTCATAACTCTTTTGGTATCGATTTTGAAAATGGGCAGGGTTTTGATGACGGTGACAAGAGAGGATCAACATCTTTGGGTGCTTTCTCTCTCTCTCTTCTTGGATCGGTCTTAGCATGATAAAACTCTATGCTCATCAAATTAAGGTCAAAAGGAGCTGCTCTCGAGGAGAGGAAAGTTTTCACTTGCGCGCTTGTGAGACGAGTTTTAGAGGAGTAGTGCACCAAAAAATTACCAAGGAGAAGTTAAATAAAATACATTTTTGAAATTTACAATACGTATTCCGATCTATACTTTCAGGAACAATTTTAATAACTCGACATATAGTTTGAAGTTCAAGGCCCCATCGGCAAATGTCCGAAAATGTCGTCAAATGATGCACCCGGATTGGCCCAAATGGAGAAGCTAGTCAATGGGCCCAAACCGAGCTAAAAGCCCAAAGACATTTGAACGGCTAAAAGCCCAAAACCATCATCGAATCAGCCTGTTGAAGTATTGACGTTTTGAATGATAATTTTATGCGTAAATTATTTTGGGGAGCACGGTCTTTTCCTACCGGCAATTCGTATCTATACGGAAGACACACGACTAAAGCCGCGGCATGGCATCCGAAGTCGAAACGCGACCAACGGAAGACGGGTCGTCCCAAATGCTTAACTACCCACGTAGCTTTAACGCGAATTCGGAATGATCTTGTGATAGGGATTGCGGTTGAAAGATCACTGACTAGTTTGGATCGCCATTAGAATCTATGGGTGCCAAACTTGTGATTTTGAGCATCATATCTGTCTCGATTTGGAGACGGGGACTCAAGACCGATGCTTTTGCTTTCGATGAAAATCAAAAACAAAGTGGCTAAGATAGGACTAATCACTCTTGAGAAGCGCCTCCACGAAACGTCACCGTGGAAATTCCACTTCCGCCGGTTCGTTGAGTGGAACATTTGATTGCGTAGTTACTTGACCGTCGCCAGCAAATTTGAAGAAGCTGAATCCATGGCGGCATCGCCAGCGACATGCCCACGCGAAGGACACTTTTCCAAGATAGTTTGCCTTGGGAGCGCTTGCTAAGTTTCTGCCTTAACGAGCTCGTGAAAGACAATCTGACCATTGATCCCTCTGGTTGATGTCATTTCAATGTCGAGTTGTAAACTATACATCTTTGTTTCCCTGAAAATGGCTATGAAATATTCTTCAAGAAGAATATGAATGGACCGATGAGCAAATCGATAAGGTTACGTTTGGTAATCGGGATAAAATTCGAGATAGGATAAATTTTATCCAATCTCGTGTTTGGTGTCTGCTCAAGATAAGATAAAGTCAGATATAAGAGGGATATAGCCCGAATAAAATTATCCCATGGGGGAGGTAGGATAAAGATGGATAGGATTTCTAATATTCATAATATAAAAATTATTTTTCTCGAATAACAAACTTGTTAAATTAATAAAATTAAAATGATATTCCAATATAAATAATATTTGAATTTTAATATAAAAAATTCAAAATAACAAAAAAATAACAATAAATTCGTTTTTATTTATTCTTATTTATATTTATATATTTAAATTTCTTTCTATCTTATGATATAAATTTCATATATATATATATATATATGTATATACACACACACGTTTAGTAGTTATATTTATTACATATTTTAGGCATATTTGTATAGTTTACTATTTAATAAAATTTTATTGGAAAATGATGGAAGGGGAAGAAATAGAAAAGAAACTAATTAAGAAAGAGAGAGAAAAATAATAAAAAAAATAAATGAAAATGAAATAGGTAAGAGTGTCGTGAGAAATTTTTATCATCTCCGTTTGTGCAATTTTTAGGTTCATTTACACTGATATAACGCTCACTTAAGTGCCAAATCGGAGGAAAAACGATCACTTAAGCGCCAACGGCGAGAAATTTCGGCCAAATTCGTACGTGGCTTTTATAATTAAAATTTTAATCTAAGTTGGATTTTTTAAAAAAAAATAAGTATACGTGGCATTTCCATGTGTACATTTGGATTTTTAAAATTTTTTTTCTGATTTTTTTTCTTCTCTTTCTTCTTCTTCTTCCTTCGGTCACAGGCGGTGGCCGGAGGCCGGCCACGGCCAACCACCTGGCCTCCCCTGGACAAGGCCATCGTCGCCCGCCACAGGCGAGGCTCGGCCGACCCTCACCTGGGCGAGGGCGGGCGAGCCCTGGCGAGGCCATGGTGGCCTTGCCAAACTGGCAAGGCGAGGCCGTGCAAGGCCGGCCATCGCCGTGGCCACGGCAGCCTCGTAGGGCGTCGCCTTCCACCGGGCGACGGTCGGCCTCACCGGATCTAGCGAGGGTCGACCTCGCCTCGCCGTGGCTCGCCCTCGCCAGATCCGGCGAGGCTGGCCATCGCCCGGGGAAGGCAACGCCCCGTGAGACCACTGTGGCCACGGCGTCGGCCGGCCTCACTGGATCTGGCGAGGGTCGACCTTGCCTCGCCTAGGCGAGGGCGAGCCCCGGCGAGGCCGGCCGTCATCATGGCCACGTCGATCTCGCGAGGCGTCGCCTTCCCTCGGGCAACGGCCGGCCTCGCCGAATCTGGTGAGCGTCGGCCTCGCCTCGCCGGGGCTCGCCCTCGCCAAGGCGAGGGAGGCCGGCGTTCACTAGATTCGGCGAGGCCGGCCGTCGCCCGAGGGAAGGCGACGCCCCGTGAGGCCGCCATGGCCACGGCGTCTGCCGGCCTCATCGGATCTGGCGAGGCCAACCCTCGCAGGGGTTCGCCCTCCCTCGCCCAAGCGAGGGTTGGTCGGGCCTCACCTGTGGCGGGCGACAGTGGCCTCGTCCGAGCGAGGCCAGGCGGCTGGCCATGGCCGGCCTCCTATCACCGGCGGTGACTGGAGGTAGAAGAAGAAGAAAGAGAAGAAAAAAAGAAAAGAAAGAAAAAAATCAGAAAAAAATATTTAAAAAATCCAAGTGTACATGCTAAACTACATTGTTTTGATGTGTACATGCTGACTAAACCTCAGGTGAACCACATTAGCTTCAGAAATTAATAAAAAAATGCCACGTCGGATTTCCGGCCAAACTGACCGGAGTTGGCACTTAAGTAATCATTTTTCCAAAATTTTGGCACTAAAGTGAGCGCCGTACACGAGTTTTGGCACTTCTGCTGTTTTTCTCCCGACAAGAAAATCGAAGATACTGAGACCGGAGGCAATCGCGTCCAGTCATGCAAATTGCAATAAAGTAATTGATTGGAGGAGGTAATACAAAGAATACACTTGGGGTATTCATAATCCTCTACCGATGGTTAAATAGGGTGGATACAGATAACGATTACTGAATTCGAAAGAACAAAAAACTCCCTAA